TGTTGATGTGTACTTCAGACATTGACTTCAGTGGTGAGATCACAGTTATGTATATCGTCTGATGACCTTTCCATCTAGAGGATGTTTGCACAGTGCATCACTGTTCCTGTGCCAGGCGAATCTTCCTGTAGGTCCTTGGCAGTGATGTGGGGGTTTTGCTTTGCATGTCTGACCAGTCTATGAGCAGTTCTATCAGAGATTTTTCTTGGTCCTCAAAATCTTGTCTTGACTTTAACAGTTCTCCTTAATGTCCATTTCTTAATGACATTTCAGACTGAAAACTGAAAGCAGGAAATGTTTAGATGTCTTTTTATACTCCTGCTTTGTTAGAGTCAATTATCTTAAGTTTCAGATCCTCAATCAGCTGCTTAGATGAGCTCATGGCAGTTGAGTGTTTAATAAAGTTTTAAAGGGTCACAGTTTTGAGCTTTGGAATTGTCTACATTTGACTTGGATCAAGACCTGATGAGTCAAATAAGCTTTAGTTAAAAAAAAAATACAGTAAAAATACAGTAGTAGAGCTACTGTAGGGTGTACAAACACATGCACATGCATTTAATGTTTTATATTTTTTCAATGTTAAAATCAGCAAATAATAATAATAATAATATTTGAATGTTGTATTTAAATTTGTTCCAAGCAAAGTAACTTCACTTCACGTCAACAAAATGACCAGGGGCGTCCAAACATTCACACAACTGTATAAATAATGTTTCCCCCTATCGTTGTCTGATAGATAGATCGATAGATACATAGATAGATAGATAGATAGATAGATAGACATACAGACATACACAGATAGCTAAACAGATATGCTTGGCATTGCCGATGTGAGTCTTAGGATTTTTCAGCTGCTCAGAAAACTATATACTGAAGCTCCTGATGTACAGTCCTTGTGCTGATGTTGCTTCCACAGGCAGTTTGGAACTCTGTAGTAAGTGATGCAACAGGATTGGTGATTTTTTGGTGCTACACGCTTCAGCACTCAGCAGCCCTGCTCTATGAGTTTGAGTGGTCTATCGCTTTGTGGCTGAGCTGTTATTGCTCCTAGATGCTACCATTTCACAATAATAGCACAATTAATAACAGTTGACTGGATCTCGCAGGGCAGAAATTTCACAAACTGACTTGTGGCAAAGATAGCATCCTATGACAGCATCACATTCAAAGTCAATAAGGTCTTCAGTATGAGCCATTCTAGTGCCAGTGTTTGTCTATGAAGATTACATGGCTCTGTGCTTGATTTTATACACTGTTAGCAATGGGTGGGGCTGAAACACCTGAATTAATTAGGACATACTTTTGACCAGGATGACATAAACATAAATTAATTTTCTTACAATTAAAAAACACAGATGGCAGCAAGACATTTTATAATAAGGATGGTCTTTAATAAGGATAGTTTGTGTTCTTGTTATTTTTAATGGAGTGTGCAGGGTGATGCAGTGTCCTGGAGGGGGCACCATTGGTTAAGAGTCTCAGGAGCAGTATTATCAGCACTAATACTGATTAACAGCATGATCAAAAACGTTGATGTGTAGTAAACAGAACAGTATACTTTAATTACACTTCAAATATGACAAGACACCAATCCCCAGTGCTGGCTGCTGAGCAAGCAAAAAGACCATATTTATGTTTTGACAGAACAGTCTCTTTATTTTTTAACAAATAGCAGGCCCTTCTGACAAATGTCAGTGGTGAGGTCAATTTAATGCCTCAAAGCCTGAACTGCACATTACAGAGAACAATGAGCATCCTGCTGATCAGTGAAAGAAGCCAACTTGTACACTGATTCATCTATTATGGGGGGCCAAAATCAGAAGAAATAGGATAAGAGTTGACCCATCTGGACTCTGTTGCAAACATAGTGACCTCATGAACAGTTTATGCAGCTCACGCACAACTTTAACTGAGGTAAATGTCACCAAAAGGCTGCAATTAAATTCACTTAAAGGGGAACTCCATCAATCTTTCAAGATTTCTGCATAATTCAATGGTTAAGATGTACAGTCATTCAGAGGTGTTTAGAAAAATTTCAATTCTGAAAAATTGTATAATTCCTTAACTGTGAGTTTCATAGAAACTGTGATCTCAAGGACAAAACTTACAGTGGTCTTCTAACTCAGCATGAGTGTGGACTGCACTGTGCACAGATCAAAATATGCATTTTTATGCATGATCAGCCCAAATGCTCATCAGAAAATGAAATGGCAGCCATGTAAACTTTAAGAGGAGAAACACTTTTATCCAGCAGGTGCTGAATGTCACCACAGGAACTGGACGCTGCACTGGGCCACACATCAATCAGAACATTTTCCAGTGATATATATATATATATATATATATATATAGCCTACATTGACAAGGCTCCCGCATGACTAACAACCTGGTGATCACTTCAAGACAATCTGGATGTGAATATGGAATGTGAGTCTAGTGATAGACCTGTGAGCTGGATAGTCTAAGTCAGTATACAGTCCCAAACTTAACACATACTCCAGGAAAGTGAATATGTCTACTGTGGATTGACTACTCATTGAGGCATATAAAGACCAACCATCTAGATTTGGAAGAATTCTCATATCCTGTGATCTTACTGGGAACAGCACAGCCTGCACACACCTGGTGAATACCCTTAGAGCCTGCCATAGCCGAAGGGCAAAACCTTGAACAGACAAGCCTTGCCTTGCCTTGGCAGGCAGAACAAAGGAACTGCCTGTGATGAGGAATTATAGTCAGCATCCTTTATTTCTAAGGACATGAGCTTTTGTTTGGCCCACACAAGCCAGAAAAATCTAAAGATTTTTGTTTTATGCTTTTGTTTTCTCACTTCATCACTATTAATTAATTTAGTTTAATTTTACTTCCTAATTACTTTAATACAGTTTTTTCATTATTTCATTATTCATTAAACATCAATGACATTTTTCTGAAAATGTGCTACATGATTATTTACATGACCTACAAATGCTAGCTGCATGGTTGGTTGGGAGAAACAAGATAGGGTAAGCTTAGTTTTACTGGACAGCCATCAGCTGCCTGGTATACAAGTGTCTACGATACAGGATAAGACTGGATGTATTTCAATGAATGTCTTTCTGCTTTCTTCCTTTATTAGCCTGTTACTGGTAGAGTTAGGAGGGTATGATGGTGATGTGTAATGGCGTATAGTGCCACCTGCTGCTTGTCTCAGGCAGAGCTTGTGCAAATGTGTTTCAAAAAAGCAATCTGTCAGTCAGACAGTCAGTGACTCAGTAAGAGACATTGAATCTCGTAGGCAATCTTGTAGAAAATTGCATTGCAGTCACCTCACCAAAGTTTGACAAACCTGTTATGCTGTCCTTGTTTTTTATATAAAGCATCTATAAAATCTAAGGGGGGCCTCAAATCTTTCACAGCCTAAGGTCACAAAATGACCTGACCTGATCTGCCCTTACACCCTGTTACAAAAGCTCACAAGGATGATTTGAAGCAGGAATTACTGAGGGGACAGTTCACTCCCCTCCAAACACTGGAAGGGACAGGACTCCCTCCCCGACTCCCTTATCTTGTGATTAAGTATATCTAGCGATCTAATGCAATTGACTACTAAGTGTAAATGAAGGTGGCTAAAATCCTATCAGGATACAGTCCAGACCCTAGTCACATGAAGTGACCAGGTGTAAACAGGGTCTTTGCTTAATCTTTATGATTATGGCAACATTATGTAACAATTTTATCTTAAAATAACAGCTTCAAAATCATTTTGATGGTACATTGACTTACAACAAGGAGAATGGCACCTGCTATAGCGCTATGTAACTTTGGAGCGGGCATGAAACCTCTCGCAGAGCTGCATGACACTTTATGGCACGATGTCAGGTTTTCTGCTAGCTGCAAATTTGCCTATAATGTGATAACATTATAACTATTTTCAGTTCAAAAAAAAAAAGACTTCTGTGTGCACAAAATATTGTGTGCTCAGAAATACAGTTAGCTTCTGTGTAGGGTAACATGGGGGGGACGAAGCCCTCCAGGGAAAGATATCCCCCCTCCTAATTATAATTCAATAGAACCAGCACCAGCTAGTAGCGGGTTGCTACACAGCCCCCCTTCAAAGGACAGCCGGTCCCTACCAGCTTGAGCCAAGTCTTTGGGTGCACGCACAATCCTGGCCAGCACCAACACTGCAGGGCACTTGCTCCTCAACACCAAACGCTCGTAGTCTTCCCCCAGAGCCGTGGCACCACTGGCGTGGCTCCTCCAGGGTATGGTGAGCCTCCTTAAGCCAGCCTTAGCCTCTAGCCGTGCCACGCTGGAGTTTGCAACCTCCTGTAAGAAAATCCTGTAATTTTACTCTGCTTTGTAGGTTGACATGGTTCTTTCTCTTCTGATGTTCTTTGCAGGCGTTTTGAATTCTGTCTTGCTGGCAGAATCCGACTCCCCTTTGCATGCATGCGCGTCACACAGGGATATGGACACTACAGATTACATTCTCGATTTCTGTTATTTACAAAAAGGGACAACAGAAATCGCAAGTGTCATCTGTAGTGTCCATTTGCCGGACTCTGTAACTCTCAGCTTGTCAACAATTGCTCGTGTGCAGCTGTCCATGTGGCAGCCTCAAAGCACGATTTGTATTTACGACAGTGGTGTAAAAGTGAAATACACTCTGCAACCACAGGGGGACCCCCGGAGGACAAAATACCAATTCTCGCATAATGCTGCTTTAAATAATGAAGAAATGTTAAATAATCAGTGCAGTTCGTCTTTAAGTTTTAAAAATAAATGTTTATGGGAGTTTACGGAGACAGTAATTCGCTTTAAGAGGATAAAAGCAGTTTTCTTTTCTTTTGAAGTGAAAATGCAAACTAGAATAACTAGAAATGATCTGACACAATTCTGTAAAGCTTGTTAAGTTGCAAGATTCGCCAGGGGGGGCGTCTTACGCCCAGCACTCCCCTATAACTGACAGTGTGGAGGTGCGCTCGCCCCATTAGAAATACATGTCTTGCTGCGTTTATAACGTCAAATAACGCGTCCAACCAATTAGACGCTCCGCTTTACCCTCCGCTTAAAGCCTCTCGCGAATGGAAGTTCTGTCGGATGTTCAAATATTGATGAAGCAGTTGGATGTCCAGTCTATCTCCCACAAGAGCTCGACGCTGCATCCCTCGTGCGCTTATAACTGGATTAATTAACATCGTTCCATCTTATGTTTCATGTAGAAGAGTTGCGATCTGAAAGCGCTTTGCTGTTCTCGTATCACTTCCTCACTGCCTGAAAGAGATGGCCATCAACACGGACGCCAGTTTGGAGACAGGTATCCTGGGCGAGAGCGGAGCGCCACAGCCGGGCGATTTTGGAGACACTCAGAAACTTCTTGGCGTCACAGCCACGGAGTCAAAAGATGGACTCGGTACTTCTGGGTCTCGGAGGGGCAGCGTGAGGTCCCTAAACGCGGAGCAGAATGGACGGAGGTCACCGTTTAAATCCGGATCTACGGGAAACATCACTGTCCGAGCTCCATCTCCGCTCAGTCTGAGCCGCGTGTCCTCCCCAGCGCTGACCCCAAACGCGCCCGAACCGCAGAGCTTCATGTGGCTGGCAGTGCTGTCCTGCTTCTGTCCGGCCATTCCCTTCAACATGCTCGCGCTCTACTTTGCGCATGCGGTGAGTCTGAGGGAACCTCAAGCTTAAGTGAACACTGATGCCCTGAATTCGACTTAAATAGATAATTTCCAACTGAAAATACAAGAACACAGTTATGACACAATCAGAAAGATGGTTCTTCAAGGGTTCTTTAGTAAATGGTTCTTTGCATGGTGAAATGGTATCTCAGATTAAGGGGGAATGTGTTGTATATGGTCACATAGAACCTTTTGAAAATTGTTCTCTATAGCACCACAAGGAGTTCCTCTCTTGGTTTGAGGAACACTTTTTGGTGCTATATGGAACCATTTTCAAAAAAGCTTCTATGTAGAACATATACAACACATTCTCCATCAATCCAAAGAAACATTTCACCATACAAAGAACCTTGTTCTATATAGAACTATATAGAATATAGAATACTATAGAGAATATGGTTCTATATAGAACTCATGACTAAATAGAACCACTGCCTTTACTCTTTTTAAATGCATGCCAAAAGTACACTCTTAAAAATGGTTCCTCAAGGGTTCCTTAGTAAAGCAATAGCTATATATAGAAGCACAATTTAAATTAACATTTGAATACATAAATGGATCTTTGCATGATTAATTGATTCTTTTTTATTTGTTATATATTGTCAATTTATGCATCTCCAAAATGGCAGGTTTACAGGAAAAGGCAAAAACAATCTTTACTTTTAATGTAAATTAATGTAGAGATTTTATTCCAAGCAGGTTTGGAGTGTCTATATTGGTCCATTCATTTTCACACAATGTAAAGGGCTGCTGAGCTCAAATGATGTAAACAAATGAAAATAACAAAAATAGAGAAGCTTTTTTTTTGGACAGTGATGATATAGTTCTGTACAGAACTTTTAAAAATGGTTCAATATAGCACTGAAAACAGTTTCACTATAGTTACAATACTAGATCTTTTTGGTACAATATAGAACTCTTTCCCCAAACAGTATAAATAAGCTTGAAAGACAAAATTGTTTTGACATATTTTATTCATGTGTAAATTATCCACACATTTGAATCAGGCACATTTAGCGCATCAAGACTTCTGTTTTGGCTACTATGTATGGATTGAGATCTTTTGGACTGCATAAAATCTCTAATTTCTGTCAAAAACTCGAGCTGCTCCTGACAGCGTGTCTGTATCTATGGTGTGTGTCTGTGTGTCTGTGTGTGATATTCAGTCACGCTCCATGATCCAGACAAATGACTTTGAGGGAGCAAAAAGACTGGGACGGCGCTCGCTGCTTTTCAGTATTATAGCCATGCTGTTGGGTCTGGGTGTGATTCTTTATCTGGCCATCACAGGTAAACATGCATGAATTTGTTTTTATACAATATGGAGTGATGATAGAACCTTTTACTGGATGGTTCTTTAAAGAACCAGTTTTATAAAGAGCCTCCACATGGTTTAATGGTTTTACATACATGCTAGCTGTAAGTTAATTATGCAGTGGCCATTTTGTTGTTATAATATCATTATTATATTTTTTATATTTTTATTTGCTGGCCAGGTTCACTGAGCATGCTCTGAAAAAATGATATTTTGGCAAGTGAAATCATCTTAAATCTTGTCAATATATCAAATCTTTCAAAATTGTTGAAAGAATCTTTTCAGAGTCTAGATCTAGACATTTTTACTTGTTACTTGTATTGACATACAGTTTTGCTAGTTTCAAGCATTATGTCTTGAAACAAGCAAAATGATTATAGAATGAGAGAGTTTATCTGGATAAAATGTGGATAAAAGTAGAAAATCTAGAAATAAGTTAAATACTATTATAATATTCTTACTGTAATACTCTCACAACAAACTCAAAATGAGAAATGTTAGATACAGTCATTCACAAAAGTTTGAACATGCTGAAAATAGGTGAACTCATCCTGTACAGAGAAAAAAACTTACATTTGGCATCTTTCTTGCAATTGTTAGTGCACATTTTCTATTTATTTGCTGAGTTTAACATATTAGAAACAATAAAACACATATAAAATGTGCCTTAACTTTTGCACAGGCCACATTACGTTTTTCTCCAGTATGTTAAATTTAGCAAATACAGTAACTGTGCAATAAAAAGTGCGTAAGTGTGTTCTCTGTAGAGGATGTGATAACGTTTCACTTAGAAAGTCAACAAAACATATAATTTGACCAGGGAAGCCAAAATGTTTTCATACAACTGTATATAGACTTGATTTGAGATATTTTCACCTGCTGTCATTTTTTGCAGTGTATATTCTGTTCCAGTTAACATCTTTTTCCTAGAACAGCACATCAAAGCCAAGAACCAATTAAAAACCTACTCTTAAGAGTTTATATGTAATGATAATTTTCTAAACTTTCTAAGCTAAACAACCTGATCCTAACCTTTACACTAACAAAAAATATATTTTGCCCTTCAGGTGCAGTTTTTGTAAAAAAACAAAACAAAACAAAAAAAAACAGAACAAAAATCAAACAAAAATTTTGTCTGGAAAATGTTACAAAAACAAGTCTCTTGTATCTTGCTATCACTTTCTTTTTCTTTCTCTGTGCCCTCTAGAGAGCTGATATTCTGTAGTGTAGAACATCTTTATATCATGGAGGATCTAATGGGCACAGTCTTCTGAGGAGAAACGATTGTCCTCAAGAGCTTAAAGGAAAGGAATCAAATAACATGCAGTAAAAAATGAAAACATCATGCATCAAATCATATTGTGGACAGTGCACACCATTCATTATTAATATGGATTTCCCATGCATGGTCTGCTCCGTTTATACTCTCTGAGGCAGCAGAGGAGCTCTTCTTCAGGAGTTTCTGGGTGGGAGTAATCCATCGTCCACGATCACTGACCATCAGTGTTATGAGACACTCATACGGTGAAGTAAATTTGAAATGAAATTTGCCAATCAAGTTCAAAATTAGCTAAGATAAATCATTTTGCACAAGTGCTCAACTAAGTCGAAGCAAAAAATTATTAGTGTAAAAAACGATTAGTATTTGTGGACTTTATATGTGAGCGTTTTACTTCCCTTTATGGTTTTATCCTTTATATTTTATATTTTATTTCACTCTTTTATATCTACTTCTGCATGTTGCAATAAACTGAAAAGAACTGCAAAAATGAGAAACAAGACAAATAATTCTGTGGACTATTTTTCTTAAAACTGTAGTCTTTTTGGAAGAAAAAGATGCTTATGAAAACTGTCAAGGGAAAGATTTTTTTCCTGGCATTGTATATTCTGTATTGTATATGTCCTGTATGTTTGTCCACATTTATGCACAGAAGGAACAGTTGGGAACTGCAGTGTTAATGAAATGAATTATTTGATTCTTCTGAAGCTGTAGTGCAGTGGTAAAACTGAAGGGTCTGTGAGATTACTACTATTTATTTACATATTCTACGAACACAAATAATTATCATAATAATATATGATTATCTATCTTTTATTTATTTAATTAATTTATTTAATTTAACCAATTTGAAGCACTTGATTTTTTCCACCAGAGAAATGATGTGGTTTTATGAGAATGCTGATAGAAAGGTGGCTGGTCCGCATTCTGAGCAGAACAGTCATGTACCATTTAGGCAGTCCTTTTTAACAAGGAACTGAGTGTGGAGTCCTTAACAAAGAACTGAGTGTTGAGTCCTTCAGTCAAGTTTTGATTCACCATAATATATGCAAATGCTGTATTAATGTTGTATGCAGTACCAAATAGTCTGAAACGCATGAAAGATTTTGTGTATGTTTCATTTTCATGCATTGTGCAAATGTGACCTGTGCTAACAAGGTGCCATATTATCACATTCCTTGCATGTCTTCTATTAAACATGCCTGGTTAACGGATATCAGTGTATTTATTTGTACTTAACATCCCATATTTAAATAAGAGTGTTAATGTGTATAACCTGATTCCCCTTGTTCAATCAGTTGGTTTCAGTCTTCAAACTGCTGATCAGGTGATTTCCTGCTTTGTTGGAATGAAAACCTGCAGCCACACTGGCCCTTTGTGGATAAGATTGGACACCCATGATCTACACTAATTAGCTATTTTATCAGATACACCTATCAAATACAGTACTGCACAAAAGTCAGAAACCACCTTTTTATTTTATTTTCCAGTCAAACTAGCTATTAAGTGCCATTTATTTATTTTCTAGCACCAGGAAATGACACAGAAGCCTTAACAACTAAATATATTGTAATTTTTTTCCAGTGTATAGTGTGTCCACATTTTGTCTTTATTACAGCTTCCATTATTTTTGGGTTACTTGCTTTTAGTTTTTCTATTAAATCTGCAGGGATGTTTTTCTACACCTCCAAAGTTCAGTCTTAGAAGTTTGTTGCATTTTTTGCTTTTTCACAATCCAAGTAATCCCAAATACCTTAGATTATGTTTAGGTCTGAGGTCTGAAAGCTTTAAGTACTGTTTATCCGATGGTGGCAGTTTTGGTGGTCTAGCAGGTCTTGCACGGTTCTTAGGAGTCCCATTTTCACTATGTCTTTTAATAACTTTAATAAGTTTTTGAAACTTCCATTTTTGCACTTATTTTCCTTTCCTCATGCAAGTGGATTATATTCTATTTCCTCAGAAATATCTCCTGAAAAATTAAAAACCTGTATGTAATGATGAATGACTGGAAATTAAATCAATTAAGAATGATCTCTAACAGTACTGTGACTGGCACAGTACTGTAGGTGTGCTTTGTATGTTCACAATTACTCACTGCAGCACATCTGTTGCAGTGTAATGTATCAGGCACCCTCTAACCCGTTTATCAGCGAGAAGGAATCGCCATCGGACCAATATCAATTTGGGTAGTGGATCATTCTTTACTGTGCAGTGAGACCAACATGGTAGTGGCCTGCTAGTGGTCAGAAGTGGTCCTATAATGGTCCTTTACCCTTGATAGAGGGGGCCTGATAAATTGGGTAATATGGGTAACTCCTGCCTATCAAATTCATTAAAGCAAAAATTGTAAAACTTCCTATATCACTTTTATTCTAAGATGTTTCTCTACACACCCCAATGAATCCTATCAAATGGGTGTGTGAGCATGGGCTGGAGAACAGTGGATTAAATGACCTTCTGCTCTTGTATCAATTAGCCATCCAGAGCAGAGGAAAAAGAGAGAGAGACAGAGAGGCTATGAGAAACACAGAGATCAGAGTAGATAGAGGCAAGTCTAGTAATCAATACGCTGTCTCCATAAGTGCACTCCTTTCATATGTCTGTGCATTTAGTCATTACCAGCTTCAGAGTGAGGTGTGGTGGCATGGCTAAACTGAGCTCTCTCACAGGAAATTAGAAATGTCCTGGCCTCCAGCTGCACACTAGGCCTGCAGGAATATCAGAAAAATGATCACTGTGATTATTCTGATGGACACTGTACTGTTGTGGACATTCTGCTTAGACAAATCACAGAGTAATAGGAACATAATTTTGAGACTGGTCAGTTCACATGCAGTCAGAGGTTTATGTGATTCATTATAGAGTGCCTTTTATGATTAAAACAGAGCGATGAAGATATACCATGGATATACCATGATAATGATACATAAGAGACCAAATTAAAAATGAATGCTAACAACAGTCTGAAAAAGGCATCTTAAAAGACATCCAGAGATTCGTAATTCGAAATTAGTCCTCAAACTTTCCTTTTATCTCAGTCTTTTCTAAATACCATCAAACATTCTTCATGACAGAGCAAAATTTCAAAGCAGGTCTTTGTTGCCCAAAAACCACAAAGCTGTTGAGCCACCAACATCCATAAAGAATCTTGTTTTTTCTCTAGCGTCTATGTGGGCAGTCGTAAGTGGGGATAATGATAAAAGCTTCTGCTTCAGTGTAAATGGCTTTGCTGATGGAGCAGCACAGACCGATAATACATGAAGGTATAAGGACAAAAATGGACTGTAGACCAGCTCGTGTGAAATCGATACTTTAATTTCAGTAGTCTACTAATTAAGACCAAAAAATATTTATTATCACTTAACTAGTATTTGCTAATAACAATTAGCTAAGAATAGAGAGTTTGTCCCTCTTTTGTGGTAGAAACAGTCTTTACTCTTATGGGAAGGCTTTACACTTGATGCTGGAACATTGCTGTAAATATTTTTTGATTGCATTCAGCCACATTCAGTTGGATGATTAGTTCTGGATCACAAACACCACTCCACCTCCTCCCAAAGTCACTGAAAAGAGCTCCATCATTCCAGAGAATGCAGTTCCACTACTCTTCAGCCAAGTGTTGGAGGCTTTATATAGTTGCATGCAAAAGTTTGAAAACCCCTGGTAAAATTATATGTTTGGTTGATTTTCAAAGTTAACACATCCTCTACTGGGAACAAACATAAATATGGCATTTTTCTTAGTGGGCAATTTCTAAAAATGGAGCGCCCAAACCTATGCAAACAACTGTACCCCTCTAGCTAACGCTTGTTCTTTGGCATGTGTGGCCGCTCCAGAGCGTCCCATTCTTCGCTGAGTATTATACAAGCTGTGTATGTGCAAATGATTGCTTGTGTCAGCAATGGGTGCAACTTAAAGAAAGTAAGAAAAGGAGGCCTACAATTTTTGGACATACAGTGTATATAAAGTACAGTAATTTGTGCATGTTTCATATGATTTGGATTTATATAGCCTGACAGTCTGCATTAGATTCATTATCATTGTTTAATTTCAAATGCACTGTGTGAGAGTATACAGCCAAAATATGCCCCTGTCTAGTTAGTAACAGACTGTACTGTATATCTTTTTTAGTTCTACTTTTGCATACATCGTATTTGTTCCAGTGGAAGGCTTTCACAGAAACTTTCTTACCATCATAAACCAATAATACAGACACACAAATAGCAAGATTGTACCCCCCCGTAAACCTTTGGGGCCAATATAAAAAGCCAGCTATCCTATCACCAAGAAAAGCTACAGGGTATGCACAGAAATAAATATAACAATAAAGCCTATATTATCTCAAGTGTGGGTGTATTTGGACTTGCATACCCTCACATTATGAAAACTGGGCACTTAAGTAGACACAGGTTGATGATTTAATCCCCCATCACTAGCCGTCATCCTCATTTATCTCAAAAGCATGATGTATTCATCCATCATCAACTACTGTAAGAGGGAAGAAAAACAACTTCTGGTTTAACTGAATGGTGGAATATAAGTACACACGGTACGTCAGAACTGCTTACACAAATAAAACAATAAATAAATCTGATCTAAGTATATATAATCAAAGAATTTTTGTTGTACTTTGCCATTTTATTAACCTAACTGCTTTATCATTATGCTGTCTAAACTATGTGTCACTATATGTTATTACCGAAAACCCAACACCCAGCAACTGAGGCACATGCCTCTGCTTGGAAGAAGTGAGCAGTGCATACTGTGCAGTGTGGATCCTGCTCAAACGAAGTTTAGAAATCAATAGCACTCTGCTCCTCCGACTCATTCGGACTCTTCCCTAGATCAAAGCCTCAGCTGCCCCATGGGAGAATACAGTTCAACATAAATTTGAACGCTTATTCTTCTGATCGTCTGTCATATTACAGTGGCATGCCACAGTTCATGATTTTGTCAGATAAAACCTATTAGACAGAGCAGATCCAAGGTTATACTGCCATGACATCACTGGTAAGTAATACTGCAGACTGAATGGGCAAAAGTCTTTAATTGTCTTGTTCAAGCAATTATGCTGACAATACTGATGACTTTCAGAAGATTGCTACAGAAAGCTGTTAGCATATACACATTGATTTTTTTTTTCACAAGATTGCTGTTCATGTACAACTAGCATAAAAAGCAAAGACTCTGGAAGTGTCTACTGGGGTTGAGCACAAATGTTAAAGGAATTCCAGGAAAATTCTAAAGCACTTTCCCCCTCAGGTCAACCCATCTTGCCATAGATGGGAGATAGCAACAGCAGCAATATGTCAATTGGACCAATATGCACTATATGTCTAACGCTCACCCAGCGTTTTTTCTGAAATCGAGTTTGTCTCTATCCTCTCAAAACAGCGAATTCTCCTCCATTGCAGTAACAGCCTCTACACTTCTGGGAAGGTTTTACACTAGATGTTAGAACATTATTGTAAGGATTTAATTGCATTAAACTGCATTCAGCCACAAGAGTACTAGTATGTATGTGCTGTAGATCTGTAGTACTGTGCAAATGTCAGACCATAAACCATCATTTATTCAACTTCCAGTCAAAACTGCCAATATGTACAATTTATAGTGTTATGAAAAGCCAGGGAACGTATATTTAACAGAAAATCACACAAAAGACTCCAACACTAAATATATAGAACCTATCAGTATTTAATTTGTCCACTCTACTTGTATGAACCCTACTGCAACTTTAACTCTTCCATCCTTCCAATCTTAAAACCAACTAAATAAAGCTGTGTTCTCCCAAAAAAGCTGCTCCCAGAGGAGTCAATGATACTCTGATTATCTTCAAAGCAACACCAACATTCACACATGCAACTACCCAAACATGAATGGTGGTCTCCAATTTTCATATAGTACTGTATATAAATAACTGCTAAATGAAAAGACACTGGTAATGTCACACTTGCACACACACATCCCTGCCCCCTCCCCACTCTTTCCTCATCCTTCACACTTACTGGAACTGAGTACTACTGGGACTTCCTGCATTACAGAGCCACTTTTCACCCTCCCACCAGCCCAGCCCTGCTCTGCTCTTCCCTGCACATACAGAACACAAGAAAGAACACAAGGGCGTTTTACCCTCTTCTCGTTTTTTTTCAATAACAGTATGCAATAGAGATATTATATTGTGTATTGTACAGCGACCTCTTCTTCATCTGTTTGAACTATGTATAAAATTGTCCTATATGGCTCACCCAATGTAGGTGTAAGTACTTTCAAATTAAAGCTGACTTTCTTTTTAACTTCATAATCACCATTTAATTTCAAATGAAACATGCTGAAGTGAATAGCTGATCAGGGTCACTTTTTAATCCCACTTTCAAAAAATTGGAAATGCAAGAATTTTGAATTTTAACATCAATTATTGAAATATTTTGCCATAGATTATGTGAATTAATTGTATAATATCCTGAGGCTTTAGTCAGTGTACTTCTGGGGTGTTGCACCTCTCCCTTCTGCTGAGTACTACTCTAAGTGAACTCTCCTGTGAATTACTGTACATCATCAATGCACTCTACTTGGAATAACAAGTCTACCTATTAGAAGTTAAGCCAATATGGTTTAGAGGTGCAAAAGCTCCCTAGAGCAAGAACAGGAATGAATGAGAGCCAGCAAAAAGAGAATGTCTACATTAACAAAGTTTCTGGATTAGTGCAGCTCTTTCACCACAGTCTTGAAAGCCTGCAAGCAATCTGATCCTAGGTCAGCACTCCTATGCTAAGATGCTTTGGAAATGAGGTCCAGTCAGTGAGTGAGATAATACCACCTCTAAACCAGCCATTGCTTCACCCAGCTATCGATCTCTGTAGGTTGGTGATTCAGTGCCACCTGCTGATAAAAGGGAACAGCACTTTTTCAGAGAAATAAGCTGGAAGAACCCAGGCTGTATCTGAAACGGCATAATAAAATATGCTCATACAGTTTTTTGGACTTATGTTGGGTAAAAGAACTCTACATTAAAAAGAGACAACTGTACAAAAGAAATTTGTTAACTTTATTATTGCATCAAACAACAGAAGAGCAGAAAAATCAAAATAAAGCTGAAACTAACAACTTTAGTTTACATCAGTTAAGATTCATATCAGTGCTGCTCCAGATAGAATGCATCATCCTCACTCTCGCTTTCCTCCAGAAACACTCCCCGCAGGGGTGACTTCTCAGACACAATGGAGTCCAATTGAAGGTTATCTTGACAGTGACGCAACCATCCTACCCCATTACGGATTCGGCTGAATTTGGCCGAGCGGTAGTGCCAGATCAGGAGGGAGAAAAGCAGGATAGTTATTATGGAAACTAGGGAAAAAGGAAAAAACAAGGCACAAGTTAGCCCAAACACACTCTTCATTATCAGAGGTGGGTAGTTACCGGATGCATTTCCTTAGTTGCATGTTCTTAAGTAAAATTTTGATGGATTTCTTTGAATGTACTACATCTGTGAATATTTTTAAATGATAATACTTTGACTTGCACGCAAGTGTATGTGTGAGGAATGGAATCTACCCCTAGCTTAGGCCTATTTCATGTGTCCAGATGTTTTGTTTGATTTTCTTTTTTTCTGCTGGTTCAGTACATGGATTGCACCACTGCTTCCCACATTTCTTCAAGCTTTAGAATGCTGAAGACAAATAGGAGCCCAAAAAGACAATAGCGCTTAAGAAACATCAGTTCCTATATGGACATGCTTGAAACAAGTTACTTTTTTGACCCAGTACCCAGTAGCAAGGCTGTTTTTTGCTAGACTATGTTCATTTCTAGTTGAATCATTATTTTATTGAAATTACAACATCTAGTTGGTTTTCAGAATATTTTCTCAGTTTGTTCCACTAAGAAAAAATGTTCACATTGACCTTCTGAGATCATGGCACAAGCAGTGCAATTCTGAGCTTAAACACTAATATATAATTAGGACTAGTTTTCTTACTAGTAGCAGCGAGCACCACTCCCTGGCTGAAGTGAGTACTGTTTTCAGTGAACTCAATCACAAGAGGACTTGCCATTTGATGCGATGACACGTTCACCTGAGGATTGGGAACAAAAGAACACACAGCAAAACAAATCACAATAACACCCACAACATCAGCAGCAAGGAATCTGTGCCAAACTGAAATGCAATCACTGCAGTGGAAAACTGTGAAATGCAATGCACATTACTTTTCAACAGTGCCATGCAAAATGCAAGCCAAAATGAAATGCAAATAATCTTATATTGTTTTCATGTCACTTGAACTCTATACTTAAAAACAACTCTGTCACATGCAATCTCACTTATTTCAGTTGAATAAGGCAAACGTGTTTGAAGAACTACACAGTAAAAAGCAATTCACTTGTGCATTTATTACATTTCAAGATGGAGTGTATTCAATTCTGACATGAATTCAGCATTTTTTTAATGTAAATCCTCATGTATTGTTTTCAGTAAAGCGGTCAAGGGCTGTGCAAATAATATTATACATTTTGTTTTTTATGCTGGTATGCTTTCTTTATGTCACCGCGGAAAAGTGATGCCATGCATGCCATTTTTCTTGACTGTAGTGACTGCATTACAATTTGGAAAGAATTCCTCCCCATAGGTAAAGCAGTGGAATTTAAAAAAAAGTAAATAAAACGTATGGCTTATGCTACCATCTGCTGGACAACACAGATAGTGCTCTGGCTGTTGAGGAACTGTTACCATCTACACGAAGGTCTAAGGATCAGATTTTAAATGGCTCCTTACACCTTATACCCTGCTTTAGATAGGACACAGAAGGCCCTGATCTACCTGTCTGAGCTGTTGCTGGAAGCCCTGAGCATGGATCTCCAACTGATGAGTGCCTGGAGGCAACAGAGTATGGAAGTAGCCTTGTGTGTCTGAGTGTACCAACACAGAGCCATTCACACTGACCACAGCATCAGACACAGGCTGGCCCTCCTTGTCTCTCACCACACCACTTAGGCCCTTGTGAATCTGGCAAAATGAAAAAATAATTAAAAAAAAAAAAAACACAAAAAAACAAAAAGGCAACAAACATCTAGACCAAAAATACTTAAATATATATACCCCCACCCCCTTTGCTTTTACTGTCTCTATTCCACTACTGTGTACCAAAACAATCATGTCGTATTTATGTTGCATGAAATAATCTCCTAAAGAACATGAAGATGTTTACATCCTCAACTGTGTGATGTATTTCTGTAAAGAACTCTGAGAACAGTGCAGTAGATGTGACATGAAAGCTGTGCTTACCTCCAGTAACATGGCAAACAGAGCTGTCCTGTGCTCTACCCAGAGCGAGAGCAGCTGCTCAGCAGGTGGGTACAAACAGCAGCCAGTGTACACTGTGATTTCAGGACACAGAGACACATCTATGCTGAAATCCTGGAACAAATACAGACACGTAAACTATTAGATTTGCACCTTACAAAAAAAACATTCCCAACTAAACATTTCAAGTTTTTCCTAACCAATATATGAGCGATATGGTGATAAGAAGTATCTTGTGTTTTCTTCCTAAAAGAAACTTTTTCAGGGGTCTAGTGAGCTGGCAATGGAGCAGGTTGCATGAAATTCAGTATAAAAATGACATACTTGGCACCTTTAGCTCAGCAAAATACACAGAATACATTCCTAGGTCTAATATTCATTCATTCATTTTGATATAGATGCGTACATGGCCAAAAGTTTGTGTCAATACACACACACACACTGGGAGAAGCATTGCTAACAGGCCATCTGACATGGCAGATACGAAAGCCAAGATTCTGTCCGAAATTTTAAATCAGCTCACATAATTCAATTACTTCTTGACACATATGGAATATCTGATGTTTGGTGATTTCGGAAGCCTACATCTAGGAGCTATTCTTAAATTTCCCCCCCGCCAGTCCACAAAATAAATTACATCATAGTGCTCAGATGAGGAAAGCTCAAATGGAACGCCTTGAGAAATTAACAAATGACATCCTAAAAGTAGATAGAGTTAGCTTCGTCACCAATGCCCAAATTATATAAACAAACCTTTACAATCCAAACAGAACATAATTATTTGCATTTTCTAATGAAAGAGAGCTCCACAATGTATCTCAAAGAATACTGAACCACACTGCAGAGAAGTTACCACAGTCTCCTCTTACTCTAAAACACTGATAATAGCTAGATAGTTAGTGAGAAAAGATGCACATTGCCAGCTATTGTACCATTAAAGCCTTTGCTGCTAATATTGGAGTGAGGAACAGAACAGCACAAACATTATTAAAAAGGGGCATTATTCTTATAATTTTTAATTTATTTTAGCATTCCTATTGTCCAGACCTAGTAATAACACAACATGACCTAAGAATATGCAACTGATGTACCTTCATGCTGCCCAAGTGATTGCTGAATTCAGCACCTCTCAGAATTCCTCCTGGGACTGACTCTGTTGAAGCATGTCATTCAGGTTGAGCACAGCACACAGCGCTCTTCAGGCAACAGCAATGTTCACATTTCACATATTTAAGACAATCTTGCCTACATCCACATTCAAACTATGACACATCAGATACAAAAAGCTGCCTGTCCTTTACACAGAATGAGAAGCATGTTTTTCATTCCTACCTGGCCCACTGTGGCACCCAGGATACCCAAAGTGCATGCCAAGGCGGTTGTCAGCATACACCACAGCAAGATATTTCAGTGTTTCTTCATTTTGTGCTGTAGAGAATGAAGAAAAACAGAAATACTTTCTCCATCAGAACTTGCTGAAATTCTGGCAACACGGAGTCAGAAGTAACAATTTTTTTTTTTTACCAGGCTGAGTGGTTCGGTCGTAGGGGTAAGTGACCAGAAGAGAACCTCCTTCCAGGTTTACAGAGAGAGAGAAGCCTCCTCCTTTTATCAGATCCATCATGGCATGTGTCTCTGGCTGTACAGACAAGCTACCTAAACACATGACAGAATACTGAGTAGTATTGGGTAGGGCTCTTAGTAAATCAACATGTCCACGTACTGACAAATAAACAAACAAACTCTTTGCTGTGACTGACCAGAGAGGAAGTCTGTGTCAAGATCCACACCATGGGCATTGGTTAGCCCTGCAGTGGAGAAACACTTTCCCTCCTGAGCCAACTCTCTCCCATCTGGATTCACACATGGCACAATCACAATCCTGCTCCTGTCGACTAGCTTAAAAAACATAGGGATCAGAAATTCATTAATTTCTGTTCAAACACATGTATGTATTATGGCTTAATGTGCAGAAAACAAAAATTCAACCACAGAAGATTTTTGCTTAAAAGACATGCAAGAGAGAATATGCAAAAGAGACAGTAAAATAGGACAGCAGCAAGTGAAAAGAAAGCTATTTAGAAAATAGCTGAGAGGAGGCAAAAAACAAACAAACAAACCAACATCATAACACCCACCTTGGTGATGGTTGGATTCCCACCATAGTTTATGCAAAGAACAAAAGCAAACTCCAGCAGCAGCTCTGGCCCTGCTGCAGCGTTGCCATGGACACCCGCCACATAGCGTATCTTTGGCTCTGTGGGCTGAGGTGACTCAAGACTGCCTGAGATCTCCAGAGCCCAGATGGTCCTGAATTCCCAGCTGTGACCCAAACTGACCCAAAAACAAAGGTTGTGTAATATACTTGTTTAGGCTTTCAATATTAAAACCTGTTTATCTTTAGACCCTGTTACCTGTAAAGACGAGTGATATGAGGAAAGGTGAGTGTAAGTTCTTGCAGGAAGTCAGAACGTTCTCTGTAGGTTCTGTAGCGTAGCGTTCCAGCTGGAAGGAGGCTCTGGACAAGCTGTTCAAGTGCATTAGCTGAAGACAGGTCCTCCAGCAGCTTCTGGAACTCTTCATCTTCCAGCTGGCCTTCAGAGTGTGTGAACAGCTCTGGAGTCAGTCCTATATCTACCTGCTCTACTTGCGTCTCCAACACTCTGAGCGGCACTACAACTGCGCTATATCTGAAGAGAAAACAGAGCATAGTGATGGATTTGAAACTGAAATAGAAAAAGATTACTAATATAAATGTCTGCTTGACAGCTAAGTTTCTGAAAAGCACTTCCAACTCTTTGGGCTAAAGGTGCTGATCAATCTTGCGGGATTACTATAGCTCTTAACGCACAATATGAAGAATTAACACAATATGACTGACACCATGCTTTTAGAACTGTTCATTAATCCAGAAACTAACCAAACCAAAGCAAAATAGAGTAACGCAGCATTGTCTGAAGAACACTAACAGTCAAAATTTGCTAAAGCCATATGTGCTTCACAAACACACCATACCTTTTACAATATTTAGGGCCATGATTTTGAACAAATTTTTATTGTTTGGGCTTTTAAAAGTCTATTCGATTAGTTGTCAAAATAATCAGTAGATTACTTACAAAATAATTAGTAGATTATATTACTAATCACGAGGAATAGCCCAAATCCTTATACTTATGTCTGTTCCTTTTCCTTGTTTTAGGTTGAATTCAGCAGTGTCCATTTCTCACCCTGGAGCAAAGGCCTGGAGTTCGTACGCTCCAGGAGCCAGAGGCCGCCAGTACTGTCCAGACTTGCTTGTGTGAACCTGGTGCCTGGAGCCTTCTACTACTACAGTAGCGTTAGCGATGCCTTGGCCAGACTGGACATCAGTCACTCTACCCCTTACAGAAAAATGAACCTAACAAATATTGAAATCACAAAAATATGGAAGATAATGCAACACAAAATCACACCTGCATCCTTCTATCAGTACATTATTTCTGCAACATGCTATCACTATTGCTGCACAGCTTTAGCAGGTTATTACAACCATGTGGAAAATAATTACAATTTATACATTAATAAAAGGTCAGCTCTATGTACATCACTCAGTTAGGAAAGCAGAGAAAAGAATAAGGGAGGTCAGCAGAGAAGTGCACCTGCTGGATAAACTGCAGCAGAACTACATGATACTGTTTCCAGTAGGTCAGCAGATCTTCAGCTTGTGGATATAGATCACAGCTCAGACCAATGGTAAATCCCAAAGTGCCTGTATTCCAGTATGCCCATGTCTGCATATCAATCCCTGCTAAGGGTGAGCAAGATGTTATTGTTTTTTGTAATAAAATTATATTCAGAAAAGCACGTTGAGATATATGATGCGTATAGTCAGTACTTCTAGAACATTTTCATGTGTCATGAAAGACAGATTTAGATCACTTATGGCGAGCCTGACTATGCATAGTAACTGCATGAATTGCATAGTAACAAGAAACCAATTAGACATTAACACATTAAAACCATCATCTTATTTTATAAATCCCTGCAGAAAGAGAACCAGAATATTATTTATTCAGACACCAGTGCATGATGAATAACAATTACTGTGAACTGACACCTGCAGAGGGTGCAGACCTTTTATTAAAGATGGAGTTCACTTCAAACACACACAGATTCCACTCCTTTCGCTTACAAAAGTGATTACACAAATTATGTTTAAAAGACTAGGTCTAACCTGTAGGGGCTGAAGGGTTAATATCATTTCTGTCTGGAGGTCTTGGCAGGTCACAGGCCTGGGACAACTGTAGAAATGGGTATTTCTGGAACCAAAACCAAAAATAAATGCACTAGAAGGTCTGATAGACTGAAATGACATTAACAGCACCAATTCAATACTTACCACAAAACATGCTTCAGCAATTAACTTAAATACATCCTCATCAAGGGAATCAGCAGAATTAGGATATTTCACTCCAATCATTCCTAAAGATCACAAAACACAAGTTTAACAGAGAGACTTTCAATGTTGAAACAAATACTTGAAATCTATAGCATACCTCCGAGAACACTAGCAGACAGAACAAAAGTGTGAGTCTTGATCCAGTTCATAACTGCTGCCGTCTCTGGTTGTACAAAATCCTCTCCATAAGAAAGGTCAGGAAAGTTCTTGTTCAAGTCTGTGTTCTGATTACTGCTGTATCTCACACCACCACTGAAATCACCGTTGGTGCCAAAATATTTTTGAGCTAAAGAGAGAGACAGAATGGATTGGTTTACAGAATTATGCATTATACATTACCCTCCTTTGCCTATTAATCTTACCTTTAAATACCATTTCGTAGCCATCTGGGTTCATGGAAGGCAGTATGTGCACTCTTGTGCTGTTAACCAGTCGTGTGACTAAAGCCTCATTGCCGTAATTACTGCATAAGTACTCCACCAAGATCAAGAGCATCTCCTTACCAACAGCATCACTGCTGTGTAGGTTTCCCACAAAAATGATCTCTGGTTTACCTATTCGAAAGTAACCAATGGACAAAAAACACATAGCAAATGAAGTAAAGCAATCAGCTGCTTTGGCCATACATTATTGTGGCTCATGTACATTCTAAAATAGCATTTTGAACATGCTATTGTGGAATTAAAGCATGTATAAACAGTGATAAAAGCTCAACAAGGTGCACCTGGCTGATCAATGCCAGCATTAGTGGATATTTCCATGACATACAGCTCCCTGCCCTGTGCTGACTGGCCGATGGAGTAGAGGTGAGTGATAGAGGAATGAACTGTGTTAATCTGCTGCAAGAACAGCTCCATGTCCAAATAACTGTGATGATGGACGTCTTGTGGCTGGACTAAAGGCTCAGGAGTGGAAGCCACTTGGCTGTCAAAGCTCTGACCAGCTGGAGTGAATGCTGTGGTTGGTACAGGACTGGTCAGAGATCCTGGCATTTGCATCTCCTCACTTGAATTATTTAAGATGAAATTCAGTAGAGTGGCTTTGTCTTCAATTACTGTCACATTGTTTACGGTCTTAGGAAGGTACCTAGACCAAAAAAAATTAAAAGGTAAATCCCAGTTCACACTGATGAGATGATTACAGAAAATTGAAATAATTGCAAATCCTACATTACAAACTCACTTTGGACTCCTGTGAAACTATTATTGAACAGCTGTCATTTCTGGTTTTAAAACTGCTCTCTGTTCTAAAATTCTATTGCACCATGTCGCTTTATAATTGTGGACTAGGGTTCAGATCTCTAAGAGGCTCTTGAATGAAGTGACATCAAATGTGACTATTAACTACCCAGAGGAGCTGGCTGTAATGTTGTATGTTCCTGGCAGCAGCAGGCGGAAGTAATCGCCAAATATCCACGTTGTGATGTTGTGATCAATTCCAGCTACTGATATGTTTGCGCCTGGGAGACCCATTCCTGCACTGGTCATGACATAACCTTTGACCCCCATATGAACCTGAAAAAAGAAGAAAACACAAAAACAGAAAACAGACACACCTTACTCAACGATAAACACCAAGAGTGAAACACTAGTAAATCCTCCTTCATTGTAAAGCATACTATCACTGACCAGAAACATTTAACTGTTCTTTAAACAAAACAACTTTTTTTTCTTACAGGTTGTTTAATAATATGGTCAGGCATGTGATGTATCATAAACACGCCACATGAATATGAATGAGTTTTACATTTTGACCTGTTTAAAGAGAACTGAACTGCAATAGCAGACTGGCCCATTATGAAACAGATCCATTCATTAATTAAATCAACACATATCTGAAATCTGAATGCACAGACATTCTAAGAGTGTATAGAGCTGTATGACAGCACCAGGCTGCACTGTATCACTTAATCTGTACTTTCTCACTTTCTCCATGTAGGTCAACAGGGCTTCCCCATTATTGGTCCACTCTGTATACAAATCTGAAGCCAAAGGGTACTTGCAGCAGCTCAGTTCAAAAGTGACTTCAAAGCAATTTCCTTGAAGGTAACTGAAGTCTTGCATGCCTCCTGCAATTTAAATAAACACACAACAACAACATGAAACAAAGATCTATAACTAAATGAACATTGGGAATAAACAGGTACTAATGGGGTGGTTGCTTGCACTTTACCTGGTACATCATACCACGCTGCTCCGTTTGTAATGCCATCTTTGAACTCCTCATCTGGGTCATAAGGGCACTGAGGCCTGCCTTCTTTCATAATTGGGTGGTTTTCAGCATAAGTCTGTGCCAAATAGCGAAAGAGGGCATCGTCAGGAGACTGGCTGTACACCCCTGACACAATATGGGAGCTGGAGTCATCAAAGGGGTAGCTGGCAACTACAGAGCCTCCATGCAAGCTACCTGAGAGAACAAACCTTGGGACAGAGACAGATGCACTGTTGGAAGAATTGTTTTCTTTAAACAGTACAAATACCAACCCAGCCGCAGCCAAAATCTAATAAGTTAAAGGGTCCCTATTATGGAAAACTTCACCATTCTTCCACACCATTTTAAAATAAAGTCTGATATAATGTGATTAAAGTTTCAGGACGTACCATTCATTCCCTGGAAAACTGGGAGCTAGAAACTAACCTGCATTTTCACAAAAACCAACATATTTACATATATCTGCCTATGCGGCCTACAGCAGTTTAGCACTGCCTATTCTCACAGAGGTTATAAGCAGTGCTTCAGGACTGCTTTTAGAATGAGGCACAATAAAGGGCAGCTTATCAGAACAGAGGTCATTTACATACATCAGCCTTAACCAGTAACAAAAACAGCCTGTTAATTCTAAGAGATAAAGCAAGGTTAAAAAACACTCTTAAAGAGTGGAGGCCTACTTTTTCTGTAAAATCCACTTCATGACAGCTGTAACCTCGGGGGCATCGCTTTCCAAGACCCTTGGTAACTGGTCAAACTGGTCAGGAAAACTGCGGTTGAGATCGACGTGTTTGGCGTTTTCTCTAGCCGCGCTGCTGCCCGTACAGTCCCCCTCTGTGGCCTTCTCAAAGCCGTCAGGGTTCATACTGGGCATTATGTAAATGTCAGTGCTGTTGACCAGCTCGGTCACTCGAGGGTCAGTTCCGTAGTGAGTCACAAGATACTCGGTGAGGTAAACCAGCACCTGTCTGGACACCGCCTCGTCTCCGTGCATGTTGCCCACATATCTGAACCGAGGTTTTCCAGGCTCGTTTCTCTCAGGATGAGCTGTGACCCTTATCACCCAGAGCTCCCGGCCTTCAACCGACTTCCCGACGCTCTCGAGGCTGCAGATGTGCGGGTACTTTTCAACAAAACTCCAGAGGCGGCGGGTAAGCTCCGCATAACTGTAGTATTTGTTGTATGTTTCCTCATTATCTGACTCAGATGTACAGTTAACATAATGTACAACGTGTAAAATGGCGAAAAGTCGTGATAAAATTAACCAGAAGTTTGACATCATTACTGAATCGCTGTGGCCGATTCAATCAGCTCTGGCCTTCATCTAACGCGCGCGCACACAAATTTCCCGCCACATCCAGCGGAAATGTCGCGTGAAGTCAAGGCATGTACTGGCTAAGGAGGTCTGAATATACTTTTAGGCTGCATCTCAAATGATTTCATGCTCCCTACATAGTGCACTACACGTAACGTATGAATGATGCTATTTTCAAGTGCAAATGGGGCGGAGGAAGAAATCGCCCTGCTAAAAAAGGCCCCCGTTAGGATTAAAACCTAATGGTTTTGCCTTCTAATGGGAATTGGCTGAATGGTTTCCAATAGAGACTACTAGTTTCCTGTAGAACACCTTTAGATTCCATTAGAAAACCGTCTGATGCACCTAGAATCAGCCATTGGTCAACTGTTAAACTATTAGGATGTTTTACATTATGATATCAGTTCATCAAAAAGCCAAAACAAAACGATTAGGAACCACCAGAAACTCTTAATAGTTTCTATGGGTTTTTCAGCAGGGCGTTCACCCAATGTGTGCAATTATGTGGTTTATATGGGAGATAAACAGAAGACTGAAGTTATGAAATGTGTGTCTATCCAATCTATTAGTTTTGGCCCATTTTAGTGGAGATTTGAACTCATGTGAAGAAGAAATTGAATTGTAGGTTAAATGTACTGTATCTGTTTAATATTCACTTCACCATTCCCACGCATTACATTTGTAGAGTTTATCTGCTCACTTAGCATTGTTGGACTGTACGCAAATAGCATTGACACAACCCGGCCAATTTGTGCTGCATCGAAAACTGTAATGTACTGGAGTTCATCATCATCTGACTTCATTTGGTTCCTCTTGGTGAGAAGCTAATTTTTCAGATAAAACTGAGACCACTTGACAGTAGCATGACTTAAAACCAAAATAGCACACTTTATGTTTCTCAGTCTGTGGCTGAACACCCAAAAGACATATTTCAAAATCTTTCACTCTTTAGATGTATTAGTTGTTGTTTCATTACATATGATGTGCACACCGTATAGCAAGTATGGAGTCATTTGAGATTCAGCTTTTATTAATTACTTTGACACCCTTGAACATCCACAGATCATTCCCCTCTGAAAGTAGGCCCCATTTGACCAATCAAAGTAAAACATTGTAATCTTTTAGCTTTATGCAAAGTGGGCTGATTTGATAAATCTCAGTGAAACTTTGGTAAACGAAAAATCCTATAGTCTGTTTTTTTTTTTAACACAGATTAAGCTTAATCTTAGACTAAAAACTGTTTTTTTCATTGTTAAATCTTGTAAATAGTTTAGTCCTTAAGTAGGCAAAATCTATGTCCAGGAAACTGACTCTATAGTGTAGTATTAGATAAACTGCACTGCTAATGGTAAATAGTTGGAAATTCTTTTTAGTCTAGGGTTGGGCTTCAGCTCGGCCCTGTATGTACAGGTCAGAGTGTTGTATGGCACCAGGAGGAGTCTCATGAATCTGCAGGCCAGCTTTAGTTTTCTATCAAGGTTGAATTCACTCAAATGACAGAAGTGAACTAGCAATAAGCGACTGGATTGAAATGTAAAATACTTCTGGCTCTTTTCCGTGTTCCTTTTTTTTGTTTTGTTTTGTTTTTTTTTCCATTCCTTTGCCTTGTGTGGGTGTACTGACTGCTCTGACTGAACTGTTTGGCAAGACTTGCAACAAAATTATGAATTCTATGTACTGCTGTATCTTATATTTTTTGATTCAGCTGTGACATTTGAGTAGGTTATGATAAGTGATCACTGAGTTCTAAAGGGCTTGAAGTCATTCACTATCATTTACAGACTTTGGATAAGAGGTCATAAAAGAACCACACAACACATGCTTGACTGAAATCCATTGTTCTTTCTCTAGCTCTTTTGCTTGCTTTCTTTATTCATCAAGTCTCATACAGAAGTTGACCATGACAAGCGCAAATGATGGCCGCAATGAAAGAAGAGCAACGTCCCAAGCGTCTCGTGGCACTGCAGCTGACTGGCCGCAGCGCTGAACCTTTCAGGATTTTCACTTGTCAAATTTCATTCTCGGTTCGTCGTTCCCTCTGTCTAGTTTTGTCTTTCTTTCCTCAAGAGATGGGTTAAAAAGTGCTGTGGACATGTTACATTGATGTAGCACCAGTTTGTCAGCCAGCAGTCCTGGGCATTGGGCCGGTCCTGCAGGGCTGGCTACGGAGGGGTGGAGGGATTGGAGGTGGAGGAGGATACTGGAGGGAGGAAGGACACAGACGGTTCTGCTCAGTGCTGGATCCTACGGATGGACTGGATCTGGGGGGTGTGGGCGTGGGTCCCGAATTCCCTGTAGTGTCTGTACTCGCCTCCGTGGCAGTCGCACTCCATGATATACTGGTAGCCACGATAACCAGGGTACTGGTAACACACCCAGCTAGAAGAGGGGAGTAAATGAAGCAGAGCCAGTCAGCCCCATCAGCCAAAAAACACTGCTGTTGTACCTGAAGTGGCTGTAGTAGATTAAATTCTACCGTCAAAATTATCTCACCATGTTTTTAAAGCGATATGTTATCATTATTGTGAAAAATTCTATCACAGTATGCTTTTCTGAGTATCATGGTACAACAACTACATATTTCATAAGAAAGACAGATATAGACTAAGTGCTTAAAAACATTCTGTGTATAGTAAACTATATAGTAGCAAGTAGCTGACTGGATGTCAGCCTATTGTTATTACTTTATTTTATTTGCAACAAAAATGTTATGATGCTTTTTATGAAAATGTCTTTACGTTTTGTGATGTTATATTTTTGCCATATTGCCCACCCTTATGGACAACTACAGACAAGCAAAAACTCAGTTTGCTGATAATTCTGTCAATGTTTCTATTATTATGGGTGGTCATTTCTCTAGTTTAGCAGTATGGAGATGATCATTTTCCATTCCTGAGAGTGTGTTAAAGATCCTGGAACAAAGCAGAAGTGTTTTTGAATTGATGTAAAATATTGCTTTGGTCCATCTAAACTGAAAATTTGCTTTGCATTTTCATTCTAATGATTTATTTGTGTTAAATAAAACCAGTTAAATTCTTTAAATAAAACCAGTTAAATTCAATTTTACCACATGAGGTTGTTTTTTTAGGCTGAACTGAGGAACCATTTTATTTGGATTCCATATATTGCCCATATATTGAAACTAAGCCCACACATTGATTGTGTAATTTCATGAAATTCACACATAAACATATATCTGGCTATTTGCTTACAGTGGCATAGCCCTGCCCATCAACATTGATGTTATAGGGAGTATTTCAAACTGGATGATTGATTGAGGCACTATACATTGCAGCTAATCAGAACAGATGTCAGTCGATCTTAAAGCCACAGTAACAAAAACAGTCATGTAAAACTAAACTCATAAACTGTTACATAAACTCATACACATGTTATAAATTGATACTATGGAAAACATAAAATGCATAAACAATGTAGGAAATGGGCCCTTTTATAGTGTTTTTAGTGGAGCTACCCACTGAAGGTACTCACGCGCCACTCTGGACCTGCATGGAGCCAATCTCATTGTTGTGCCAGCCCATAGCCTGCAGGGAGGGGTAGTCATCACACAGGTCCCACTGTCTGCCCATCATGTTCTCACAGTCCCACACACACATGCGGGACTCCTTGTGGTTCTGCTCCAACAGGAAAAAGAGAAAGAGTAGGACTTGAAGTCTTGCCATTGCGGACAATACTTGATCACAATTGAGTCCAGCAAGCACGCAGCCTGTTTAAGGTATCAAGCTGTGTATGATTGATGGTTTGCGTTACATCACTCACAGCAGAAAAGATGGGCCTGAAAGACATCATCCTCTCGACACGGTAGCCATTACTTCCCATGTAGGCCTCGAAGCAAGGGTAGTCTCCCTTCTCCAGGACAAACTGTTGGCCATTGAAGCTGGTATGCTCATAACCCACCCAGCTGGGTGCCAGAAGAACAAAAAACAAACACAGAGGATGGTATGAGAGGAGCAGATGAGCACCAAAGAAAGGCTCATTCCAAATGATGGTGCAGTACATTCACATCAAAGGTGACGCACAAAGTGTAAAGTCCCCTAGACACTAAGTATGAGTTCAGAAGAACTTAGTCAGAACTATGCCTAAACTATGTGTGTTAATGGTGGGCTACAACATTTTTTGTGCAATTGTAATACACAATTGGAATAAAACATAAAACATAAAATGTGCAGTAACTTTTGCACAGGCCAAATTTTATGTTTTTTTCTCCTCAGTATGTTAAATTCAGCAAAAAAAGGGGGTAATTGTGCATTAAAGTGTGCAGAAATGTGTTCTCTGCAGAGAATGTGTTAACTCATTTTCACATAGGAAATCAGCAAAACATATAATTTGACCGGGGCACCCAAACTTTTACATATGACTGTGTATAGTATAGAAAAATTGTTTCTCATTGGGTAAACAAGTGGGGTTAGGGTAACTTTCTGGTGGGCCAAATCAAATCTCTCACAGGCCATCTTCGGGCAGACCAACTCTAAACTGTCCATCAGTGTAAAGGAACCACCATAGGACTACCGCTTGCCAGATATTATTTTTTTGTGGTGGATCATTCTCAGCACAGCAGTGACACCAACATGGTAGTACTATGTTTATGGGGTTTGTGCTAGCACTATGGTATTTGGATTAAGAATAATCTGCCAGCCAAAAACATCCAGCCAGCAGACGTCTTGTGGTCAGAAACCAACCACTGATGAAGTGCTAGAAGTCAACATACATTGTGCCTGAAAAAGATCGCTCTACTTCTGCAAATTATTCCAACAAGGTAGATGTTTCTAGTAAAATGCTCTGTAAGCGTAAGAAGCTGTAGCTACTCACGCTCCACATTCCACCTTCAAGGAGCGGACGTTCTCCAAGCCGTACTCCATAACGTTCTTGCAGCAGGAGGTGAACTCCCACCATCTGCCCTGGAAGTACTCCTGGTCATAAACGGTGATCTGGTGGAAAACACA